AAAGAAAGCAGCCTCCTTTGTCCCCTGTATAGCTTACTGTATATTAAAAAAATACCAGTAAGCTCTTCATCTTGCTTGCCTTTCACAAGAGAAGCTGCAAAGGACTGTAATTCATTGTAATAAGTAAGTAGCAGGTAGAGTCGGTGATGAGACCAGGCATGGAGAACAGACCATGACAATGGTTGTATTCAGGTTTTAGGCCTTTGTATTTTAGAGGTTATCAGCTCCAGGCTGCAGATTCTTTAAAATAGCATTATATTCTAGATGTGTAGACCAATAGTCACATGCTGAAATGATCCCAGAGGATAAGCAAAAAACAAGTATAAGATTGAGGACGAGGTGTTAAGGCATGAGGGAGTGCTGCGGCCTGTGGCAAACTGAAGGATACAGGGTTCACTAAAGAGATGCAGATATTATAAGCCCTGTGCCAGCCACAGAAGATTCTCTCATAAGGAATCTGCTCACAGCTACCATTTGCCATCACTGGTGTAGATTCTATGAAGACACCTTAGTTTTCCTCTGATGGATTACTATGAAAGTGAATTTTGGTTAAATACAGGAGATTGGGCAAATATTTTATTTTTCTTAGCTCCCTTCTGATGCCCCTCTAAAGCTTCAGTAAAGGTAGTTTGAAAAAGGGATAAACATAGAAGGACACAGAAGACTGAAAGGAGATAAAACTGAGAAACTAGGAAGCAGTCAAGCAAATGTCTGTGGGGCCAATGACAGCAGACCTCAGGAAGTCCAAGGCTGCAGAAAGGGAAGTGAAGAAGTAAGCTTTGCATGCTTCAAATCCTACAGAGGGCTTGGAGATTGGAGGCACCATCTGTCTCTGAAATAAGGGGCATAGACAGGTGTGGGCTAACACAGGTGGATTGGCTCACAGTCTTTTAAAAAAAGCCAATAGATTCCTCAAAATCCTCTCCCTTGAGAAACATGAGAGGTTTATTCTCTGGATACGTTGAATTATAAGACACCGGACTCAGACACTGCTGAGAACAGGGCACTGTACTGAAACCAGGGAGAATAAGTCTCTTGACTCAAGGGCAGAGACCCCAAGGCCCCTTCCCATCGTCAGATCTCAAAATTCCTACATCTGGACTTACAGCACCAAGGCAAGAGATTTCCTCTCAAAGGAAACAGACCAGCCCAAAGAGCAATACTTACAGATGCACATCGCTGGATGTGTCTGCCTGGGCCAAGAAGAAAGTAACAGTTCTGGCTGAGCTTGGAGATGGCTCGGTAACAGATACAAAGAAAATAAAGGAAAAAACATTTTTTTAAATAGGCAAGGACTAACCTAGGGAGGAGGAAAAAGTTTTACACAAGAAAGGAAATGTAACTGGAGAACCCTAAGAATAATGCCTACCGATTAATCCACAGATTACATTGAACTACTAGGATGAAGCCAAAAGTATTACAAAATTACAGTGAAAAGAATAAAGAGGGGAGAGGCAGACCTGTGTGTTTGTGTGCAGGTGCCTTATTTTTGATGAGGGAGAGGGTTGGGTAAGACATCTAAGTGATCATCTTCTATAGTCATTACATAGAAAACAGTATCTAAATCTGAAAAATAAAATCAAAATATTTATTTCATCACATTTGAGACGCCAATTAAAAGATTATTTTGTGTACCTCTAAAAATAAAAGAATTTCTTAAATCCAAGTAAACTATGATATGCCATCACTTGTAAAAACCAAGAAGCTCAGAGGCATTAAAACTGGGGGGGCGGGGGTCTTAGAACTGTAGCAGTGCATTCCACGAGAAACAGCTAATTTAGTTCAAATCAGTTACCTCCGGGAACAGGAATTGAGGTGGGGAGTGGGCTACTATTTTTATTATAATCCTTGTTGAAGTGGCTGACTTTTAAAAATATTATGTGTAATAAATAAATTATAAAAGAGTATATATCACAACTCCAATTAAAAAAATCTTTTTCACTGCTTCAATGTTCATGATACTGGCTTAAATGTCCTTTAATGAAACTGCTTATCATAAAAATGTTTTGCAGTTCTCATTATTTTACTACTCAGAACCAACTACAAACTGATGGGAAAAGCAATAAACCAATCCCAAACCACTCTAAAGTTACTACCCTCATTTTCTGCTCTCTTCTGTCAAATGGAAACAAACCCAAAATACAACTGCTTATTTGATATTTTTATAGTTATTTGCCTGTGTTTCTGAGGTGGTGGATTCTCTTGCCTGATCCTTAATCACAAGGGGTTGTTTATTTAACTAAACTGGAGCAGGCTCCTTTATTGGCTCCTCTGCTTAGAAAAACATTTTTAGATGGCACAGGGGCCATCAGAGTCAGGGTGTACTCACAGGTATTTGCCAGCCAGGCACTTGCTCCACTGCCGATGGCCAGCCTCACTTGGATTTGGAATGTGTGTGCAAAAAGCAAGTAATTTTTAAAAGACTACTTTATTCTTACTAGGTCTAAATTCTCCCTTAGGAAAAGATATTTGTTCTGGCGTCCCCAAATACACTTTAAAAATGTGAACATTCTTTAGTTTCCTCATGGGTTTGGAAATAGTACTAGGTCCATCACCATTAATTTGTCTCTACCTAATGAAAACAGTCTGGGCCTTGGAACAGAGCTGAGTCTCAGCTGGCATGAGTCTACACTGCTCTATAACACACATACTTGTGAATACACCTGCAATGCACACATACTAACACCCATGCTGCAGGGTACGAGTAGAAGCTATCAAGACTTTGAAAGGCCTGAAGTTGTCCCTACTAGAAGAGAACATGTTAGCCTGCCACAGTTTGGTGGATGATGGCAGAAGACACGAGACTGGGCCAGAAACAAATGAATATAAAATGGGGATGATAAGCCTTATCTTACAAGGCTGTCTTCGCAATTATATGAGATACAAGTGCCGAGTCCAGTGCCTGGGACTCAGTAGCTATTGTTTAACTCACATCACCATTAGGGCATGTCCTCTTACTATAATATATAGGGTGACCAGACGTCCCGATTTTGGTGGGACAGTCTTGCTTGTCCCATGTCCTGCGGTGTTTTAAAAAAGTCCCGATTTTTGGAAAGAATGCAGGAACGGGCTGGAGAACAAGAAGGGAATATACGGTTTTCAGCCGCCATATGGCTATTTAGCCAGAATATGAGTTTTATATTATTTTTGTTAATGTTATAATGTTAAACTGTAATAAATAATTGCTGAGAAGTGATTATCGAGAACTGCTTATCAAAGTTTGCATTGTTGTCAGGCCCTGCCCTGCCCCGTCCCCTGCCCTGCGCCCCCGCTCTGCCCCCGCCCTGCCCCCAGCCATATTGTCCCGCCTTACAGATGTTAAAATCTGGTCACCCTAATAATATAGCAAAGGGCCCTTAAACTAATTTCTCCACACCCCTACTTACTTTCTTAGTTTTTCATGATATTGATAACATAGCTGCTTAGGATATAGGGCAAAGGTCACAAGACCACAGAGAGAATGGCTCTGAGAGCCGACTTTCTAAGCACCTCATACCAATGGAAGGAACCACAACTCTATCACTGAAAGAATCAAAGAAGAAAACAATTGTGACCTTTTGTTGCCCAGTTTTATTTCCTTCAAGCTGATGATTCTGCCCAGGTGTTACCAACCTGTTTGTCAGTGTCTCTTTGCATCCTTGCCTTTTACTAAGCGAGCACTCACAAGTCAAATAAGAAGTCAAGCTCTGCAAACACAAACCCAAGGCTGCTCCAGGATTATCAGAGATCAGTTCTGCCTCCCAACTCTCCCCCATCGTGATCATTGAACTTACAAGTACAGAAATACCTTGTATGGATTTGCAGGTTGTTAAATACATGATTAACAGAGATGTTTCTCTTTTGCTAATAGCACTATGATTTTCTCTTAATATTTGGCATTTTGACTTTAGAATATAAATTAGTCTTGATTTCTGCAGCAGCTCGGTGTTGTGTGTACATGATGATTACTCTTCTTTGTCTTAAAGTATAATATTTAATTATAGCTTCACAGAAGACTTAAAATTCCATTTTCCCTCAGGAAAAAATACCTATAACTGGAGTTTATGAAAATTTATTAGGTATCGCTAATCCTGGGTAGTAAATTGGATTTTTGAAATCTGCGTGATTTTTAGCACATTACGCTTTTCATCAGGAAGGTGACGCTTGCAGAAAATGCCTCCGGAATAATCAAGCAGCAATTTCACTGCCACACTGTGAAGACAAATACAGTTGAAAGATCATGCATGGAACTTCCTGGATTGTGAAATTTGCTTTTAGAAAAGGAAATATCACATAATAGCCAGAGGACAAGTGGCGATTCCTAGCGATTTCACCCGCTCCCCGGAGTCTGGGATTACCATTCCCTCCTCTCTAAATCCCAGTCCTCCACTGAGAAGTGTAAGAAAGCTTGGTGAATTCTATTAAAAAAAACACGACTGGCTTTTCTTTCTTGCATCATTTAGCCGAAATTAACACGACGGAGTCCTTTCTATCTATAAGCATACACACAAACGCCCCTACCAGGGGACACTGGCCTGAGAAAGAAAATCAATACACAGATGGCAAATATTTGAGTTGCATTTATATGAGGCGTTTCTTTATGGAAAACAAATTCCAACCACAACAATTTCAGGGACCCTAAAGGAGAGACTATCATGACACTTAGAAAAAAAAATCCTTTCTAAATGGAACAGGAATTTTTTTCCTAGATCAAAAACCCCAAACCAATAATCTTTTTTGTATCAAACTTTCTTCTTATACCTAACTCTTCGTTGCCATTTATCAAGATATATCATTTTCTACATTTAAAATAAGACTCAGTTCAAATAGCTATTCTTTGTAGTAGTACCAGGAAGAACTAAAGGGTGTTTTTTGTTACATTTTTAAGTTCAACCAGACACATCGCATCTGAGAGGGTTTAACTAACGTAGGTACAGGAACAATATGCAGGTGATAACACAAACTTGAAAGAAAAACAGGAATAGTTGCTTCATAAATATTTTTAAAGGCACGGCGAGTACCTGATCCACTGGAACCTCAACCTGAGTGTCTTCATCTTCATGGACTTCTGCTGCCCCCCGCGTTTCAGACCTCTCTGCTCCAGCTTTGAAAACGCCTTCATCTGGTGAGACAAACACACAGTGAAAATCAAAATCCAATTGTGACATCTTGTGGCTAAATGCTGAAATTACAACCAAGTACCTATTGATTATTTTTTAATAGATATTTTGGTTCCCTTTTTAGTGATGGGATTTTTATACCCTCCATTTCCTGCCCTACCTCACAATTCTTCTACATTTTTACTGGAAAAAAAATTTCAGTGGTAAAAAAAATGATACAGCACAATAAAAGGCTCTTGAGAAACTTCTGTTCACACTGGAGCTATTGATTCAGTAACAGCCTGGACAGGTATGGAAATGGGAAGAACGTCACAACTATATCTCAGTTCCCCCTCCTCCCCGTGAAACAAGGATGATGCTTGGTTCTTTAAAATACTACTTTCAGAAATTTTCCTGACCCAAAATAATGCTATAGATTCAATGTCATATATGGGAATAATTGTCTCTATTTAGAGAATTGTACACATATTTTTTTTAGCACAACAGAATCATAAAGCTGACTCTCCACATATTACAAAAATATATGATTCTATTTACTATGCATATTTCCATGAGATTTTTCACAACCTATAACTTTAAATCCTTGACTATAAAATGTAACCTACACCTCCAAGACTTTAGGTTAGGCTCTTTTGACTTGCTTTCCTTTGGAAAGCAATAGGAGCTGTTCTCCATATTTGAAGTAGTTTTAATGTCTCCCCTCAGCCTTCCCTTCTCCAGGCCAAGTAATCAAAGAGTCAGGGAACCATTTGTCATTCTGTCTATCTACTTGCCTCAAGATAGGTTTTGGTGCTCCAGCCACCCTCACAGATGTTTTCTCTGTCCAATTTTTAAGGCTCTCCAGGGTTGGGGATTTCCCCTCCTTCCCTGGTAATATATTACAGTATTTGATTACCCCTAAAGTCTAGAAAATATGTTTTTTTCTTTTATCTTAAAACTCAATTTCTCTAATGGAAGCTTATTTCCAACAGCACGAGTATTTAATACATCTCACATAATATCTTAGGTTGTTATGAAGTCACTCCTAATTGTAAAATATATTTTCACATTTGTTTAGGACTGAATATATGTGAGGCACAATATGACACAATGGGACAGCCTAAGATGTGAATAAGATGTGGGCTTTTCTATCAAGTTATTTACAATTAAAATGCACCACCAATAAGGTCCACTGAGGTAAGTACCATGATGGGTCAGGGCCAAAGAAGAGAGTTAGAGAAGCTAAGAAGATACAGGAAAGAAAGAAGGAAGGAAGAAAGTAAAGAATAAAGGAAGGAAGCCAGGGACAGGAGGAGGGAGGATGAGATGGAGAGAAGGAGGGAAGGAGGGAGAGAAGGAGGGAGGAAATTAGATGTGCTTAACTTTCATTTCACCTTCTGAAATTATCAGAGGAGACAACAATCATAATCAGATGCTGGACTCAGGAGACTAGGTCTGACTTTGTACATGACTTTTGGGATGATATTTGTGCATCCAAATGTAGCACTTCCTTATCAACAGACTACAAAGAAAAATCTATAGATAGCAAAGGAATATAGTCTTAATACTACCATTCAATGAAATATTTAACTGCGTCTAAGCAGAGCTATGAATTGTGTGCAGATGTGTTTTAGAATAGGCATTCCACCACAGAAGAAAAATACAATCAATAACAACAAATAAAATAAAATTGGAAGGGCACCGGAATGGAAAATGGCAACCATAAGGATATAAAACAGCAAAGAGACAAATCAGCGAAGCTCAACACTGTGCACAGTGACACGGAGAGAGAGAGAGAATACAAAGATAAAAACGTCTCCTTGGGTGTAGCGGGAGGATTTTGTTCATCACTGAACTGAGAGTTTTTTAAGCCGTCTCCATTAGCAGCACAGGGCAAGAAATGAAGATCAGAAAGGAATTGACAGGAATAAATAGTGACCAAAAAACAAAAACAAGACAACAGCTAGGAAGTGATTTTGTGAAAGGAGAAAGACTATTAGGGTCTTAAGTTTTACTATGTTATATAAAATTACAGATGGAATAGTATTTTAGAGAATATTTGTTAAAGCATTTTGATTATAAATTGTTAGTACATAGGCATTTTAGAAAACTTCGAAGATGAAGAAAATAAATGCCCGTCTGACTCACAGCCCAGAGACAGCAACACTAATATTTTGACAATTCTCCCCCTTTCTGTGTCTCTCTTTCTATCAAAGCCACACACACACACACTCACACTCATCTAACTGGGATCTTATGGTCCACACATAGAATTTTAAAAGTGGTTTTTTTTATTTTAAAACTGTATCATAAATATTCCCCATGCCATTAAATGTTACTTGAAAACATAATAAATTGCTGCATGTGGTGGTCCCATACTTTAATTAATGAACAACACTGAATAATGAAAACTAGGAATTTTTGATGAATAAGGTACGTTTTACTCATTTGATTGATTAATAAATACGTATTATGACCCACAGTATAATAGTCACTCTGGGAAACAGGAAAGGGCTGCCCTTTGAGGACTCGGCATCTTGTGGAGAAAGATCACACAGCCACCAGCTGTACATCGTTCCATGTTAGGACCCTGCAGCCACTGTCCTGTCCCGTGAGTCCTTGTTGTCCAGGAGCAAGCGTGGTGTGCTGCACACAGTCTTCAGTTAGTGTTATTGAAATGTAAGACAAAAAACAAGTCCCCTGGGTTACCTCTTCCTCCTGTACTGATGCCCTCTGCTCTGTGCCCCCCACCCCTCATTCCCCCTACCCACTGTGCCTGGTGGGAACTAACCCTCCCTTCCCGAACTGTCCCCTGAGTACGCTGGCATTCTGGTTTTGATACAATTAACTCACATAAATCCTCGGCCTCCTTTTTGAATGCTGCTTCTTCCTCATTTTAAAGGGAATCTCATCAACCCACGTTTCTCCCTGTATCCCACCTTCAGAGGAGCTTCCAAACCCACCTGACGAGCTATTCTACCCCCTGGCTTGAATGTGATGACTCTCTCCATTGGCGTCTCCTCAACTCCACCTTACCACATGTTCTTTTCATCACTTGAGTAACTTCAGTAGCAGCTAACGTGCAGTCAGGACCAAAGAACTTGGAGTTCATGGTACCACTGTGCTATCTCAAATCTCACCCCACACCTTCCTGGTCTAGTTCACTGCTTCTGCCCTGGGCTTGGGTGGCTGCCCATTGAGGGTCCTGCTCATGGCTTAAGCCCCATTCATTTTTCCATTCTCTAGAAAAGGCACCTTCAATCTTATCCCTTAACCCCGCAAGCAAATGGAGCCCACGACATCTCCCTGTGCATTGCTCCTCCCCCAGGTGCCCCACCTGCTCAGGAGTCACACTTATTTTGGTCAATTTCTCTCCTCTCCCTCTTCCTGCTAGACCACAAGCTCCTCCAGACATGGACCACAAATGTTGTATCTGTAAGTCCTGGGCCAGTGTAGGTATCAGTCTCAAAACAGGCTTTCAGATGTTTATTAAACTGAACTAATAATAAAAAACAATATATAAACACTAAACTTCCTGTGCACATAGACATATTATGTGCAGTAGAATTTGTATGTGTATGTACTTCATCCAGGGCCAAGATCAGTGGGCCAATGTGAATGTCCAAAAGTAAATCGAGCCTTAAATCAGAAAACTAAAAGCACTTTACACCAAAGAATTGCCAACAAGGCCAAACTACAAGGAGAAAGAATTTGAATGATATACAGAGAATATGTTCCTCTTCTGACAATGTCATGGTGAAAAGCAACTGAAGACACATGCCATGGAAGGTAAAACACTGAAAATTTAAAACATCTGCTTGCACAGATTGATTCCACGGGAAATTACAATTTTTATCAAGGGCAATATTATTCAAACACTTCAAAATCTTAGCACTTTCCCCTTAATATGACTGCTAATTTAAACTTGCATAGTAAATTGGTGGATTCAGGTCATAATAGCAATTATTATGTACAATGGTTATGTAATTATTGCTAAAGCAATGTCAGACAATCTAACCACGATTCATGAAGGTTAGGTACCACCAATCGTGATTGCAGTTGAACCTTCCAATGAGACAGAGAAGAAGTTTTAGAATCACTCAAGATTTTTCACAAAAACAGAAACTTAGTCTTACTCCGTACCGATGTCAACAGGTTAAGTGACCCTTTCTGTCATAGGCTATCTGTGAACTTTTTGGTGTATACACATTCAAGAATTCGTCCCCTTTTAGTGAGAATTAGAATGATTTTATTGAACTCACAAAGTTTCTTGAGTTTTAGCAATTTTGTTTCCTCTAAAATTAGTTGCACACAGTAACTATAATACGTGGAATGTTACCGAAGTTTTGAGATACACAGAAATCAAGAAACATAAAATCTGCATAGATGGGAAACAAATGAAGCCCTCCCAGCAACTCCAATAAGCCAAGCAAGGTGAGGCTTGCGTGGGTGAATCAGAGAGGATGCTGCTGTCTATGTTTCTTGGAAGTGATACAACATAGTCTTGTCTCAAAACTTTCATAGTGACCCACATAACAGAACGCCAGCATCATACAAAAGCAAACCTGTCTTACATAGGTCAGAAAGGTAAGTTCTTGGAAAAAAATAATAATGAGATGGGGCATCATCCTGCAACGCCCTGAGTACCCAGCGCGTGGCTGCCGGGAGTCGCTGTCTGGTCCTCACCCCCACACTTGCCCCCACTCTTTCTAACCCATCTTCTACAGCAGCACCCCACAGGGAACGCTCTTATCAAAATTATCGGTGACTATCATGATGGTCATCATTATGCTCTCATTTACTTAATCTCTTAGCAACCTTTAATACAGGGAAGAAATCTCTCTGCTTTTTCCTTCTTCCTTCTTCTTTCCCTTCGTCTTCTTTCTTCGTTGTCATCTTCTCCTTTCTCTTCTTCTACTTCATCCTCCTCCTCCTTCTTTTCTCTCTCTTTCTCTCCCTCCCTCTGCCCCATTTCACTCCCCTGGTCTCACCAGCATCAACAGCAGCTTCTTCTCAGTGTCTT